CTTCTTGAGCATCTACTGTGGGCCAAGCCCTGTGCAGATACTATTCCTTGGTTGAACAAGACAAGACAGAGCCCCTGTCCTTGTGAAGTTTACATTCTAGTGGGGAAGCTGGACATTCAACACTTTATTACACTGGTAATCATTTAATTAAGACTGTGATAGGTGCTATGGGGAGAAGTAGGATTATATGAGGGTCCTGACTTAGGCTGGGCTAGCAGGAGAGAATTCCCATGGAAGGGAGATCAGAACTGAATTCTGAAGATGCATGGAAATTAAGCAGGGGAAAGGAGGCAGAAAAAAGCATAACAGGAAGAAAGAACAGCAGATGCAAAGGCCCTGAGGCAGGACAGCATAGCAAGAACAAAAACCAGAGGCAGCAGGAGTGATTAAGCCAGGCCTTGCAAGCTGGTGAAAGATAGATCTTTGTGCTAACCCCAATGGGAAACACTGGAGCAGAAAGTGACACACAGTTGCTTGTGCATTTAAAAAAGCTCTCTCTGAATGTCACGTAGAGAATGGATTTAAGACGCAAAGAGAGATGGGCTAGGAAGCTACAGCAGGGATCAAAGCAGAGGGTGATAGTGGCTTGATTTAAGGAGGTAATGATAGAGAGAATGGGTAGAAATGACAGAAAATGGCCTAGAAACAAATCCCAAAATGCCCACCCTCACCTAAAGGCATTTCTGTGCGTATCCATTCCCCTTCCTCAATCATATTATGTGAGTCCAGGTCTGCACCCTGGGGGAGTAGCTAGAAAAGAATTCAGAGCCATGACCTTACCTTGTCCCCAGCCAGGAGGGCTTCCTCCAGCGAGGGCATTCCAACCAGGGGAGGAGGTAAGGGAGGAAGCAGGCAAAGAGCTGACTGCCCCGCTGGGGTCCATCTGTGGTTCACAGGCCATAACAGAGAGCAAGCTGGGCGATACTTCCCCTTCTCAGGGCTGTGGTTCACTCTGGATCAGCCAGCTCTGCTTCACCTGCCTTCAGAAAACAGCAAAGAAAGAACTTCAGGCATGGGAGGCTGGGCTCCCTGGCTCTCCCAAGCCCAAGTCATCCCAAGGCCTGGGAGAGCTACCCAGTCTTTCCGCTGACCTTGGTCTTTCTGGTCATGCTGAGGAACATCCTCAGAGTGAGGAGGAGCTAAAACTCTCCCAGACCTCGCCTGAGAACTTCCCACCTGGTCTTGTGTCTTTTCCAGCTCAGACACATCCAGGCACCCACAGGGAACCCAGGGGCAGACCAGGCCCCACTCTTTGGCGTGTGGGATTTCCATTCCTTACTAAGGTCAGGGCAGTGCATTCATCACGGGAAGACTTGTTTATACAAAGGATTTCAAGCAGCTTCCCAGAAGACACTGCAAAATACAAATAAAAAAAAAAAAAATCAGGATGGTAGGAAAGATATACTTAAAAAAATAAAAGTGATAACCATGAAGAATAAAAATATTCAGGCAATCAGGGTCCCTAGCAGAGGTGGTAGAAGTTTGTGTTCAAGCACATAAACTCTAAGGTCAGACTAACTGGTTTAAATGTCAGTTCTACAACCTACTAGTTATATAAACTTGGGCAAGAGGTTTAACCTCAAAGAGCTTCAGCCTCCCTATATTTAAATAGTGGTACCTTCCCCACAGGGTTACTGCACTAAGGCTCAGAGGGATGATACAGATAAAGGACAGACAGCAGCATCTGGAACAGACGACACATGCCATAAAAACTATCTCTAGTGGTTGCTGTTTTGAGGTTTGACACAGTTGCCATGCCTGAGCTGAGAATTTAGTTTTGAGCTTCCAGGTGACCAAAGCTATAATGGAAGTACTGTCAGTTAAATAGTCTTCTATATGGAGAAAAGAAAACTGAGAGTGAAAGGAGCAATGCATCCTCCTAGCACTTAGCTCTAAAAGACCTCGGAAATGCTTTCAAAGCCTCATAAGCTGGGTCAGTGATAGCTCAGCAGGCATAACCCTTAGCCACTTTGTCAACAAGAACAGAAAAGCCTTTTGTGGGTATTTCCTTGATGCCAAAACAGAGTCTCCAGTGCCATATATTCAGGATAGAACCTGCACACTCTATCTATGATGTGTCCACTTGGGGCCTAAGAATCACCCCTTACAAGGAAAATCTTGCCTAAGTCTCTGGGATGACACAGCAGCCCTGCTGAAAAAAAAAAAAAAAAAAGTCCACTTGAATCATCTTTTGCTGCCATGGTTCTTGATGCTGGTGAAGATAGGAAGGGTCTGGTCAACACCTTGATTCCAAGGTGGCCTGAGAGCTGACTGCCACTGCTCAGGTCCCCTAAAGCAGTAGTCCCCAACCATTTTGGTACCAGGGACCGGTGCTCCTATGAGAATCTAATGCCTGATGGTCTGAGGTGGAGCTGAGGCGGTGCTGCTACTGCTGGGGAGTGGCTGCACACGCAGATGAAGCTTCCCTTGCTCACCCACCGCTCACCTCCTGCTGTGCAGCCTGGTTCCTAACAGGCCACAGATGGGTATAGGTCTGTGGCCTAGGGATTGGAGACCCCTGTCCTAAAGGTAGGAACCTGACTCCCAACCCTCAACACCTTCTACTTCTTTCAAACCTTTAAAAGAACCAGCTGCATAATTTATGGGGCCCAGTGCAAAATGAAAATGTTGGGCCCCTTGTTCAAAAATGATAAAGAATTTCAAGAGGTGACAGCAAATCTTAAATCAAGTGGGGGGGCGGTGCTTTTCTAAATGAGGGGCTCTGTGTGACTAAGCATATTGCGTGAACCTAAGCCAGCCCTGACTTTAAGCTCCAGATCACTTGGGAGCCCTCCTTAACCAAACAAAAATATACAAAAATGAGCCTTTCACTAACAAGTATCATACACCGACTCTGTATCAGCCTCTGAGGTAAGAAAGCTGCAAAATGTTAGGAAAAGAGCAAGAACTTTAGTGCCAAAGAGCCTGGACTTGAATTCCCACTCAGCCACTCCCATGCTCTGCGACATAAGGTACTTAACTCCCTGAGCAAGGTACTTGCTCCTCACCTGTAAAATGGGTTCAGGGACGCCTACCTGGCAAAGCTGCTGCAGGGATAATAGAAGGAAATATAAGTGTGATATTCATCACCCTGCTCACCAACCAGGCCCCTTTCCTCACAGGTTTTTCTCATTTCATAGGAGAGAAAACTGAGGGTCAAAGGTGTGAAGGGATCTGCCCAAGGTGGGGTGGCTAGAAACTGGAACCAGGAGGTGAACCCACGTCATCTGGCTCTAAAGTCCAAACCCTTAACTCCCATGCCTAGAGCCTGGGGACACAGGTCAGGGAGATTACGTTTCCCAGGTGTGATCTAGCAACAAATTCCAGTCTGCATCTGAGATGCTATGCTCTGGGAGGGCAGGAACAATCTCTCCCTCACCTAGCCCAAGGCCTGGCCCACAGCAGGCATTCCCAAATATTGTTGAGCATTTACCCATCACTTGTATCACCTCTTACTTACTTCCTCTTATCTTGTACCCCCGAGAGGCATGAAAGCAACAACAACAGTCCAAGGATGTCTGCTCAGCACTTGGCAATCACTGAAGCCTTTTCCTGACTCATCCGATCACTTCCTAGGCCTACCAAGAAAATATAGTCCTTAGATCCATTTTCCACTGAAGGCCGTTTAGTGCAATGACTAAAAATAACCTGTAGTCCTGCCACTTCCCACCTGTGTTACCTGGAGTGAGTTACTTAACTCCTTTGCCTCAGTGTCTTTACATGTAAATGGAGATAATAATGATAGCTTTTAGTTGTTGTAAGGCTTAGAGGTCATCCATGCAAATCAGCAGTCCCCAACCTCTTTGGCACCAGGGACTAGTAGCTATGAGAATCTAATGCTCGAGATCTGAGGTGGAGCCGAGGCAGTGACGCTAGTGCTGGGGCGTGGCTGCAAATACAGATGAAACTTCGCTAGCTCACCTGCAGCTCACCCTCTGCTATGCAGCCCAGTTCCTAACAGGCCATGGACTGGTACCAGTCCCTGGCCCAAGGGTTGAGGATCCCTGATATAAATAACTCAGAGCAGAGCTGGGCAAATAGGAATCACTGAAGGAACTTAACTGTCATTATTTTTACTCCGGAGATATTCCCTAAGAGACTTACAGTGCCAGGCACCTTGCTTTCTCGACTATAAAACCAGAAATAAAATCT